TGTTTTTGTTTTCTTTTTGAAGTAAAGCACAATGATATGCAATGGGCTATCTGTGCTATGCTCTCTGTGGGTATTGAAGCCCAGTTTTTAATGTTATAAGCCTTCTGGCTTACCGCTGAGCCACTGGGGAGCCCCAAAGTTAAAAATAATAAATGCAATTTAAATAATAACTCACTTCAAGAAAATAAGTGGCCAAGGACAGCCCTCCTAAAAATTACAAGACTGTCAGGGTAGCATATCATTACTCTGTGCGTTTACAGATTAAACAGATCATCACCACCTTCTTTTCCTTCATTTTTCAAAGTATGAGGTTCTCATAATGAGTAAACAATTCTAGTATTAGCCCTCAAATAGTAATTTTGGGATCCACATGGACCTCAGATTTAATTATTTGAAATAACTGTAATATTGAAGGTATTTTTGTTCTTCGTGATTTGTGTTATTAGGGACTATGTCAGCAAGAGAGTGAGCCTACAAACAATTTGGTGCATAAATAATTTTTAAAAATGGGTCTCATTAGTAATTCCAGTGCTAAATAACAAGGTTTTCTATTTATAAACTAGATATAATGGAAAACATAAAGTCATTCAAACCACTGAGCTGTACACACACATAATTGTCAGCTCATCCAGTTATACTCTACATGAGAAGTAAAATAATAGTAAACATTTTCTCCCAGAGAGGTTATTCCTTATCTCCAGACCAATGTACACCAAAAAACTAATCCGTCTTAATGTAATATTTTACATTCAAGTACTTATCAAATAAACACTTAACAGCATACACAATGTATTACCATCATCACAAAAAAAATCAACAAATGTGACAAAGAAACATTCTACCAAATTTTAGATTTTCAAAGCCAATAACTATTCTATATAAGTCTTTAACAATTTCAAACACCTTTGAATCTACATATTAACAAAATAACATGAAGTTGTTTATGCTCCTACCCAGATTTCAAATGTTTTAAAGCTGCACCTTTTCACTCAAATTTTTTGTAGATTGACCTCGGTTTATACAGTCACTAGAGAAACCCTGCCAAATGTTTCATGCTTTCACGTCAATTACAACCAGATTACCATGCAACAATAGTGATTTTGAACTGAATAGTGCAGTGTTTGTATTTACATCATTTCTTTTGATACTTATATTTGCAAACAGACTTCATAAAAATATAACTGTTTTTGAGAATATCCTCTAATAGTTTCATGATATGTGATAAAGAATTCCAATGTTTTTGAATGTAATTTTACACACCTGTACATGAATTTCTGGTAACTTCCCAATTGACAATTTTTATATAAAGTGGAAGCCATGTACGAGTACATGTGAACATAACAAATAAAAAGTCCTTTGTTTAGTGTAGAATGAGGAAACATAAACCTGCTAAGAAAAGCTCATGCTTGGAAGAATCTCAGAAAACATGCAAAAGCAGTCAAATTTGTTAGTTTTAAATGTGATAATGGATTTAATTTTAATCAGGAAAGGAGATAAGCTACCAAGTACTGGATTAACTTATAGGCCACCTAGGCCCTGGCTTAGCCCCACAAACCACCCTACTAAAAAATTATGGTTTGTAAAATTAGTATAATAGAGGTATGAATGAGTTATCGTTATTACTTTCAAATATTACCTGACACAGTATCTCACCAAATCTTAATACGGCCCTCAAGCTAGCTACAGAATGAAACTTTCAAAAAAATAATTTATAAAGGAAAGCAAAGACAAGAAAACACCTGAATAAGAAATACTTCATGATTTGTAATAAAGCTAATAGGTATTGTTCAAAATGTGACCCATTTCTCTATTAAATGTATGGTCCTATGATTTTTAGTTACAGCATAGCAGCTCAGAGAATGGCTCCAAGTTATTTTTCAAGTACAAACTTGAAGCTCATAGCTCCATCTCTTGACCAATTTGTGATCTAATTCCCTCTTGTTTTAAGATCCTGAATGCCAAATAACAAACACTACAGAGGTATGACTTTACAAAGAACAATGTTAAGTAGGCCATGCTGAGAAGGTGGCTGTAAGTATTATGGATGTCAAGAAACCAACTAAAAATAAAAAAGTTTAGATACAGAAAGCTGAAGTTACAGAAGCGTTTCCAAAAGATACAGATGTATTTGAGTTGTCAAACGAAAACTTGTAGTTACACAAGATGAAGATATTAGAATCAGACATACATGTACCATAAAATGGAAATCTAATATACCTTGGCAAAACATTCATAAACTAAGATACATAACTGGTTTTAATGCAATCTACATAAACTAAGTGACAGCATCTTGTATCAGAAATTTTATGGGAGTACAAAGAAGGCCATAAATAACTTAGACCTTCTACTACATGCTTTATTGCAACTAGAAACTTTCTGTAATATCAATAAACTTTCAGCAGCTGAACATCTT